CCAGCCACTCCTCAGAAGGAAGGTTAGGCAATCTACTTCCGTAGTGATACTGCCTCAGAAACCCAAGGAGGGGTCGCTATGAGTCGGGTCCGACTCAACGGCACACAACAACAACAACAACAACAACAACAAATAACCCATGGACAAATCTACTGCTTTACTTCATACTGCTTTTTGCAGTGTATCAGTGCCCTTGGCTCACCCCACAGCTCCCAGCAGTAGGCGAACAGTACGATCACCCCATTCTAGAGGGGAGTAAATTCAGGCTTAGAGAAAGAGAGAGGAAATAACTGGCTAAGATCCAGTGGGAAAATAAGGCTCTAGGTTTCAGGCTCAAGATGTTTTACCCGACTTGTAGGATTTTTTCCTCCATGAAGTCATTCATTTTTTCATGAAGTTTGGTTACTGAGGCAAAGGAAATGTTATTGTGGGGCAGAGAAATCTCTGATGCCCCTCCACCAATGGCACTAGGTCTATATGTCGGTCATTCCCAGGATCAGCCAGGCATATGTGTGGCTCAGTCATCCCCTGGCCAACCCTCTGTTCACAGTTAGCTCAGAGGTTTGCGCTGTGAGCCAAGCAGAAGCATGGGTATGACTCCAGCATGTGGGGATTTGGAAGCCTGTCCAAGCATTGCAGAGAGATTTTCAGTGGGATGTGACTAAGTTTCCATGGTAATATGGGTTGGAGAGTCTGCCTTTCCCAGGCCCCACCGTCCTGGTCCCGAGTGTCCTGAACTCAGTTCTCTTTCCTCATGCTTTGGCCCCCAGCAGCTCACCTCCTCCACACTGCACGCTGCACCCTTCCCAGCCGCTGTGGGTCCAGATGAACAGCAAGTCCTGGGGCTTTTCTGGTTCACTTTGATTTTCCGCAGTATAGTTTACAGGAACTGTGTATTCGTAATGAATTCCGTAATTCTGGTCGTGAAATAATAACACCTGGATCAGCAGCAAAATAAAAAACCATTTTGAAATGGAGTGAAAGCCCACAGCACTGCTGAATTTGCAAACCAAGCCCTGCTGTGGCTGTTTCTCTCCCAGAGGCCATCTATTCTTTCCCGGGCTTCAAAGCAACTCAATCAAGGTATGTGCCTTCATTTCAGCCATGTAGTCCTTTGGGGCAAGGCATATGCAACCCTCAAAAGGGATCTTTCCTACCAGAGGGAGGACCAGCGTAGACTAGGGAGGAGGAGCTTTGTGGATTCTAATTACATTTTTGAAGTCCCTGGGTGGTGCAAATGGTTTAAGCTTCACTACTAACCTAAAGTTAGTGGTTCAAACCTACCCAGTGCTGCATGGAAGAAAGGTCTGGCAATCTGCTTCTGTAAAGGTCATAACCAAGAAAATTGTATTGAGTCTTCTTTATAAAAGTAGCTTTGAGGTGCAGTGGTTAAGCTCTTGGCTGCTAACCAAAAGGTCCTTGGTTCAAATCCACCAGCCCTTGGTGGGGAGAAAGATATGGAAGTGTGCTTTCATAAAGAAAAAAAAGAAAAAGAAAGAAAGAAACCCCTATGGAGCATGAGACAATCAATTTGATGGAAACTTCTTTTTTTCTTTTTTTGGAGTGGTGGTGCAAACAGTTAATGCAGCTGCTAACTTAAAGGGTTAGTGGTTTGAGTCCACTCAGCAGTGCCTTGGAAGAAAGGCATATTCCTGCAAAATCAGCCACTGAAACCCTGTGAAGAACAGTTCTACTTTGACACACATGAAATCACCATGAGTCAGAATCGACTCAATGGCAACTAGTGTTTTAATTACATTTTACTTGGAGAGCTACTCCATGCAAAGAAAAGCATGTAGTCTGCATACTCACCCATGCAGCTGCCTTTGCAGACAAGAAAAACACATGCAAATTGCCTTTACCTAGAAAGGCATCTGAGCAGATGGTGTTATTCTGCTTGAACATGGCCCTCCACTACCCTACCACTAATTACTGCTGTGTGACACTTGGTCCAGAATGTCCAGGGGAAGGCAGGCTTATGGGCAAAATATGACCACCATAGAGGAGCCTTGGGGAAGTCTGTTTGGGGCCCAAGGATGTATGAGCCTTCTCTGAGGTCTCTGGAGAGATACAATTCCTGCTATTATGGCAACTAGGATGATGACTGTGCCTGTGGTGTGGCAGGGACCGGCTCAGGGCTTAAAGCCAGCAATGGGGTATGGGGAATCATCTACAATCTTGGTGGATTGTGGAGAGTGATACTGCTTTTTGGTAACATGTAATCAGCCCTATGAGGACAGCTGGTATGCTACCGGGCTAATAGGTCAGGACAGGCTCTCTGTAGGACTTAAAAGTGGCCTGGCTGTAGACTATGTGTCTCTCAGCTGAGCCTGCAACCTGTGTGCACTCCTAGGTCGAGACAGCTAGCAATTTCACTCCCAGCCTGGGAGGTCTGGGAGCATAAGCCAGCAGGAGCTAGAGATGGAGTATGAAGGGCAGGCCAGGTGGAAATTGCAAGAGAAAGGGAGCCGACTTCCTTCCTGAGCAGCTCTCAGACCTCCAAGGGCTTGGGTTGCCGGTTGGAGATGGGGATGCTAAGAGCAGGCCTAAGTGTATAAGCAGCCACTTCTCCAAGAAATATGCTTGCAGTAACACATTTGGAAAAATGCCTCCAGGTTTTTTTTTTTTTTTTTTTTTAAACAACAGAAAACTATGCTTTAAAAGAGATCTTTATTATCTCAGTATGGGAATAAGACTGGTGAATCGAGAATCCATATGAAACCAATTTCATGCAATTTTGTAGCCACGTATAATTTGTGTTTGTGTATGTGTAATTGATTTCAAATGCAGGTCTCTGTGGCTTTCCCAGTGCTCCTGGCTCTGCAAGCAATGTGTGGGCCCTAATATGGGGACAATGGCTTTCTATTTAGAGGCAGAGAGGCCCCCTCCAGTTTCTAGGTGTAAAAATTTGAAGTACCAATCTTATTTAAAGAGAGAAAGATGATTACTTTTAAATGAGGGCTGGACTTCAACTATGGCACTTGCTTTCTCTGGGTTTTGTTTATCATGGTCCAAATGGATCCAGGCTGTGTGTCTGCTTTAATAGGTTGATGCTTTGCTCAGCTTGTAAACTTTTTTTTTTTTTTTTTTTTTTTTGAGGGGGAAAGAAGGTAAATATATCCATCTTGGTGTTTGCTAGAAAAAGCAAATTCACATGCTAAGAGGTGATGTTCCTATATAAGTTTTGTCTTTTGTCTCCTCTTTCAGTCCCTCTGAATAACTGTTCTTAAATCAGAACAGGAGGATCTGTTCTATGAGTAGAAGCCTCTCAGTGGTACAAAGGTTAACTTGTACTGCTTGTGAGCTTGGCTGCTGACTGAAATGTTGGAAGTTCAAGTGTACCCAGAGGTACCTCTGAAGAAAGGCCTACTGATCTATTTCCCAAAAAATCAGTCACTGAAAACCTTATGGGGCACAGTTCTATTCTGACACACAGGGGTCACCATTAGTCAGGGACAATTTGATGACAAATGGTTTAAGAAACAATCTTTTCACAGATAAATGGCTCAGGTACAGGTTTTTGATATCAGAAATCAACTCACAAGAATACATTTGCAGTGGATTTCATGGACTGCATATTGCATTGGCACAGTTCTAGATAGTTTATGTTGCTCAAGATACTGGTTTGCTTACATTTCATCAGAAATTGCTGTGAAGTTAGCACCATTGTGGGGCAGCCTCTGGTGATGGGGCGATGGGTGCTGTGCTTATTGGCAGAGCCAGCCTCTGCAGGAGATCCCCTAGAAGGCAGCCAGAGAGACTCTGAGGTATCACCTAACTTGCACAGCTGCAAGTTGCCAGAAACTACAAATTAATGGGAAAAAAGAGCTCCCAAGAAGAGCCATTGGCAAGTTTTGAGGACAAAATGTGCTTTGACTATAGATGCAAATCTGCCACAAGTCCTGTTCTTTGGAACAAGACATGGAATCAATAATTACAAACCATGTCAGAATTTAGTCCTAAGAACTCTTGCACCTTAAACAAGAAATGGTGCTTTTCTTTTTTTCTCTGAGATCTTTAATATTTTTAAAAGGATGAATGATCAGATGTTTAAGTGGCTTGTGTGGAGTCCCTCTGGAGACAAAACCAAAACAGTTGCCACAGAGTTAATCATCACTCATGGTGATCCCATGTGTGCAGAGTAGAACTGGGAGTGCAGGTTTTGCAAGGCTGTGTCCTTTTGGAAGCAGATGACAAGACCTTTCTTCCACAGTGCCTCCAGTGGGTTTGAACAACCAACTTCTCAATTAGTAGTCAAGTGTGTAACCATTTATACTGCCCAGGGACTCTTCTCCTGAGACAACAGATGAGATAAAGGGATCCTGACCTTAGCCCAATCACAGATTTCTAGAGACCACCTGAGAAGTAAATGTACAGGGAGAGCCTGGTTCTTCCTTATGATTTCCAAATGCTTGTTTAAGCTGAGTCTGGAAATGCTGAGTGATGTCAGTTTGAAAACAGAGTCAACAATTCATTTCCAAAAGGTAGTTTCTAATGTGGAACATCAACTGTGGGGCAGATCTATACATCCTACCATCTGATATAAAAACATAGGCTCTGCGCAGGACTGCCTGCTAATGAGGCCAAGTTTACCTGGCTGCCACATGGGAAACATTTCCTTCCTGGAGGCAGTTCCTTTTGAACAAGATGGGAACTGTGCCAGCCAAGAGCTCAGGCAAAGTTCGAGAGAGGGGAATTCTGCAGCATGTGGTGAAGGAGATTATATAAGAGCTGGTCAAGAGTGAGAACTAAGCAGCAAATAGCCATGTAAAACACTAGGAACCAGCATGTATGTATCATCCCCTTATTCCAGGGCCCCAGAGTAAGGTGAACTGGCTGACCTCTGTGAGCCACCACTCCTGAGACAAATGAAAGAGAGCACACTAACTTACCATCAGATGCAGTGGTATTTTGGTTGGTCCCTTGGCGGAAATTTTCTCCCATAGGCCCCTTCTAACATAGCGGACAATAGTGCCAGCAATCTGAAACTCTCCAGGGAGCTCAATCTTCCAGTCGCTGTTGATGGATCTCTTACTGGAATCTTTGAGAGCTAGAAGGAAAATCAAAGAAGGGAGAATGATGTGGGGTACTCAGCCTTTCATACTGGGCATCTAGATTTCCTCAGGGTAGGAGAGTTTAAGACACATAGGCTGCCCCAGGGGTCTTCTATCGTGGGCTCCTTGTCTCAAGTGCAATCCAAATAATGCGGGTGCAGGAGGAGGGGCAGAGAATGGAAACCACTATGGCTCAGTCAAATTTAGAGAATAATTTCTGCCTGATGAATTAATTCTATTTTAATATGTCCAAGAGAACACAACACATCAGTTCATTTCTTTTTTGCCCCAGTTGCCATCGAGTTGATACTGATGCACACTGACCCCATGTGTTTCAGAACAGAATTGTGTTCCGTACAGTTTTCAATGGCTGATTGTTCAGAAGTAGATCGCCAGGGCTGTCTTTGGAGGATCCTCTGGGTGGATTTGAACTGACAAACTTTTGGTGATCTGCTGAGCATGTTAACTATTTGCACCAACCAGGGACTCCTTATTATTACCTATCTGGGTCTTTTTAAGGCAGGCAGTCTAACTCAAACATCTCTTAAGGATTTGATATTCTTGTGTTAGTCAAGTACATGTTCCTTCAAGGGACAATAGTTATTCCATTAGATATTTGTGTTTTGAAACCTGAGAGGCCCCACAGATATGGCAATAATGCTTGGCAGAGGTCAAGCTGGTGGAACACTGAGTATGGAGGGGTGTGCTGCCATATATACTGCTCTGTGGTTTGCAGGTTCACTCCCTCACACAGCCACTCAGTACAAACACCCGTCAGGAGGTAGAGGGAAGCAGCGTTTAAAGAAAACAAAACAAAACAAAAAACCCAGCATTATTTAGATATAATTTACATACCATACAATTCACCTAAGTGTGTACAATTCAGTGGTTTTTAGTTTATTCACCGAGTTGTGCGACCATTACCACAATCAATTGTAGAACATTTTCATCACTTCAAAAAGAAACCCTCTACCTATTTGCAGACCCTCTCTATTTCTCCCCAAACTCCCACTAATATACTTTCTGTCTTTGTGGATTTGCCTACTCTGAACATTTCATATAAGTGGGATTATACAATATGTGGCCTTTTACATCTGTCTTCAGCATCTTGTTAATTGCTTATAAGCCAATACTTGGTTTTCCATATAGGAGATCTATATTTAAATCTGAAGTCCCCTCACTTAGGTTTGGAGTCTGTGGTGTTCTCACGAGGAGGGGACTATGCAGTGAAATGGTTTTGTTTTTAGAAAAAAAAACTCACTGGAGTGTATTCCAGCATATAGAAGCCTTTTAGCAAATGACAAGCTAAGAGGTGACAGCAAGTCTTTATATCATTTCAGAAAAGAAGGTTCCCAGGGCATCCTCAGGCCAGTGCCCACACTCTGCCAGCACAGCTAGAGCCCCTGATATCCACCAACTGCTCTCACTCACTTTATAACACCATTTAGTTCTTATGAACAAAGTCAGATCATTATCTATTCTATTCTCTATTCTCTGCTTAAATAAGATGGCCACATTTAATACAGATTGTGAATAATGAGAGTTGGAACCAATAAAAGATTGAGGTTAACCTGAATTCATCAGCTCTAGCCTGGGGTTAGGACCCTGTAGTTCCATAACAAGCTGTGTGACTCAGGCAGGACAATATGACTCCAATGCTTGCTCCTGCCCAGACATGCTCTCCTGGCCAACTGAGAAGAGATGCGTGCTTAGGACTCCTTGCTTATAGGAACCACCAGGAGAAATCAACATAGGAGCTGGAAGGGCTACTTTCCAGCTAGAGAGACTTCCAATTAGCGTTTCTATCCTGGCTGGCTGTGCACAGTGAGTGGTAGAGGATTACAGGACTCCAGGGAAGGCTGAGGAAAGAGAAAGCTCTACCACCTGGAACAGAATCTGTTTCAGAGAGAAATTCTACTGGCTATTGAAACTTCCTGACTATTAAAGGGAAGTGAGAATGTTTGGATACTCACAATTTCTTTTTCTTTTTCTCTTCCTCCACTACCTGTAAACCACCATTTAAGATGCTCATTCTCTGGCTCAGGTGCTACACAGGCTTTTACCAACTTAATCTTCCCAACAAACCTGTAAGGTTGAGGACTGTTTTCTTCATTTCACAGATGAGGAAATGGGGCACAGAGAGGTTACACAACTTGCCTAAAGTCACATAGCTATTAAGTTTAGAGTGAAGACCTGAACCTAAATACATTGAGCCCAGCATTGTTATAACTGCTCACATTTCAAATTCCTATGTTCTTAGACTATGGCACTAGTGTAGATTTTTATTTAAAAAAAATACTAAAATGTGAAAACGTAAGGCTTGTTCTCAAAGGGAAAAAATTTCAGATTCTAAGGAGCTCCGGCAACAAGAACAAATAGCATGCTCTGTACCTTTATGAAAATAACTAAATTCACAGATTTTCCAAGCTTCCAGTGAATAAACAACTTAAATACATATGGTTATGTGAACCTTTGGTGAATCTAGGCAAAGGGTGTATGGGTGTTCATTGCACTGTTCTCTCAACTTCTCTGTAGATTGCATAAGCATATGCAATGCATCGGTTTCACAAATCAGAGCAAGCTGGTGGGAAGTTGGTGTTAGTTGCCATCAGTTGGCTCTGACTCATGGCGACATACAACAGAAAGAAACTTTGCCCAGTTCTGCACCGTATTCATGATCATTGGTATGCTCGGGTCCATTGTTGTGGCCACTGTACACTTTGAATGCTTTCAATGTAGGGAACTCATCTCCCAGCACTACACTGGACAATATTCTGTTGTGATCCATAGGGTTTTCATTGGCTAATTTCCAAAAATTTTAGATTTCCAGGCCTTTTTTCCTAGTCTGTCTTAGTCTAGAAGACTTGAATTGAGTGGGCAGGTGAATGGAAAGAACACACTGGCCTGTGATGCACTGCAGCAACCATCTATCTGGAGGAAAAAAACAAATTTTACAGAGCTTGTTGATTTCAGGATGTAAATACAGTACTCAAGCTTACCAGCAATCATGAAGATGGAACTGGACCTGGGAACAGCAACATTTTATTCCCTTGTGCATGGGATAAGGAGCTCTGGTGGCGTAGTGCCTAGGGCATTTGACTGCTAACCAGAAGGCTGGCGGTTCAAACCCACCAGCCCCTCCATGGAAGGAAGACCATGCAATCTACTTCCATAAAGATTTACCGCCTCGGAAACCCAATGCAAAAACTGAACTGCCGTCAAGTCAGATCCGACTCATAGCAACCCCTCCTTGGGTTTCCCAGGTGCTATCTCCTCGGAAGTAGATTGCCCAACCTTCCCTCCAAGGAGTGGCTAGTGGATTTGAACTGCCAGCCTTCTGGTTAGCAGTCAAATGCCTTAGGCACTACGCCACCAGAGCTCCCCAGAAACCCAAAGGGGGTTGCTATGAGTCAGAATCAACTGGATGGCAGTGAGTTTGATTTGATGCATGGGGTCACCATGAGTCCAAGCCAAGTGAATGGCAATTAACAACAACAGGAAACACCACCACCCTTGACAATTTCAAGTCATGCATGGGACACCAATGAATATGGAAGTGGGAAGACATGAGCTACCTTGGTAAGCCACACGGCCGCTGCTGGAGCCTGGCTTTTCTGTGAGGTCCTGGTCTGGAGCAGCTGAGGTGGTGAAATATCATACTATCACAGCTTCAGGAGAGGGGCAGCACTCAGAGCCCCAGAAAGAATAGACCTTGCATGCCCAAGTATTGCATGCAGCTATCTGAAGAGTGGCTATGAACTGCAAATAGAGCTTCACAATGGCCATGTGGCCTCTCCATCCAAGAGGCTGGTACTCTTTTCCCCAGGACAGCTTGTTCATGACAACAACCATTTACGCATTTCACAGTGAGAGCAAAACCCAGAGGCAGAGTTAAAAGCAGGAGGTCAGCAGTTCCAAAGGCACAAGGAACATTTCAAACCCTATTTACGTTGGTATGACTGACTTAGTCAGCAAGATTAAAAAAAATGTTGGTTGCTGTGGTCTGTGCTGAAAAATAAGAACTTCCTCCAAAATTATAGCATTTTGCATTCCTTCAGGAACCCTTGGGTGGTGCATCTGGTTACTGTGCTCAGCTGTTAACTAATAGGTTGGAGGTTTGAGTCCACCCAAAGATACCTGGGAACCAAAGCCTGGCAATCTACTTACAAAAAATCAGACATTGAAAATCCTATGGAGCACAATTCTACTCTGACACCCATTGGGGCTTCATGAGTCAACAGTCTCAACAGCAACTAATTTTACATTGCTTCAAAGGGATGAGTCTCTAGCCTCAGAGATTCTACTGTTAAGATAGCAAGACCATTTTTAGCAGTGACTAAATAGTCTCAATGTGGAGTCTAGTGATAAAATGCCTGTGGGGGACCACATCATCTCCTGAGAGTGAGTGAGAAAAGTCTGATCACCTCCTACCCCTCTCTTTTTTCAAAAACTTATTATTGTGATTTGAGTGAAAGTCTCAAAATCATTTTTTAAAAAAAGACCAGGCTTACTGCTGAGAGAGACTAGTGGAACCCCTGAGACTGTAGCCCTCAGTCACCCTTTAAGCCTAGAACTGAACTCACCCCTGTGGCTCAACTTTCAGCCAACTAGTTAGCCTATAAGGTGAACAATAACACACTCCTTACAACAGACACCACACAAGATCTTACCTCTTTCTACATCAGCCATGGGCCTCCCACAACCTGACTGAGCTTCCTGAGGGAGGATTTGTTAGAGCTGATGAAGCTCAGCTGAGGGCATTCCATTTGCACAACTCCTTTCCAAGACTCCATTCATAATGTTGTATTCTTAAAGAGATCTCGCCCCCCAAAAATAAACTCTGGATCCCTCAAGTTCCTGCTCCTTTCAATCTTAGGGCATCAATAAGTATATTCATGTCCTCTTTGTCTGTAAGCATTTTGAGGTTGATTAGTTCATAGTTAAAATCAGGATTTTAAACCTAGAAAGAACCCAACAGGAACTATCAAGGTGATTA